ATATATATATATATATATATCATATATATACATATCGTTATATCATATATATACATATATATGTATATATATATATATATATATATATATATATATATATATATATGATATAACGATATATAACGATATATAATTTGTTCTAAATTTATATATCAACAAACAATATTTACAAAAATAGTATAAACTGAAAAAAAAGTTTTTGTAACACGTTTCATCCTCCATGAAAATTCATGAAATTTTAACGGAGAAAACGCGCCAGAAAGATTTTTTTTTCCAATATGTCATACTATATATATATATATATATATATATATATATATATATATATATATAATAACAGTAAAATTGTGTATCTGCAAAATTGTCCAAATCGTGTAGCAGCATTCGATAATTGTCCATCCCACAAAATGTATAATATTAAAAAAAAAATTGAAACGTGTCCAAAAATCTTTTTCTAATACATACAGAGTTATTAAAAAAAAAGAACTGAACCATTTAGTTTGACATTCCCACCACCTGAAGAAGGCCGTGTGTACAACGGCCGAAACGTTGTGATAAACATTGCGACAAAGATGAGGACAATAGTCCGAATAATGTAAATAATGTATATAATACTTCTCATAAATATAGACAGATACTGAAGGGCCGAAACGTTGTAATACATATGGCGACAAAGATGAGGACAATAGTCCGAATAATGTAAATAATGTACATAATACTTCATCTCTGAAATATAGACAGATACTGAAAGGCCGAAACGTTGTAATAAATATGGGGACAAAGATGAGGACAATAGTCCGAATAATGTAAATAATGTACATAATACCTCATCTCAGAAATATAGACAGATACTGAAGGGCCGAAACGTTGTAATAAATATGGCGACAAAGATGAGGACAATAGTCCGAATAATGTAAATAATGTACATAATACCTCATCTCAGAAATATAGACAGATACTGAAAGTCCGAAACGTTATAATAAATATGGTGACAAAGATGAGGACAATAGTCCGAATAATGTAAATAATGTACATAATACCTCATCTCAGAAATATAGACAGATACTGAAAGGCCGAAACGTAATAAATATGGCAACAAAGATGAGGACAATAGTGCGAATAATGTAAATAGTGTACATAATACCTCATCTCAGAAATATAGACAGATACTGAAGGGCCGAAACGTTATAATAAATATGGTGACAAAGATGAGGACAATAGTCCGAATAATGTAAATAGTGTACATAATACCTCATCTCAGAAATATAGACAGATACTGAAAGGCCGAAACGTTGTAATAAATATGGCGACAAAATGAGGACAATAGTCCGAATAATGTAAATAGTGTACATAATATCTTATCTCAGAAATATAGACGAAAACAATTACATCACCGATCAGACCGCGAACTACCATCAGTCATAATGAATGGATGCCCACTTGGGAGATTTCGTATCTTCATAGATGAGCCTTAAACTCAATCTGATCTGAAATGGAACTCAAACATAAGATCCATTGGCAAAGATAAAGGAAAAAATATCGGTTCCCTTTAACGCTCCAGTAAGTAACTGACTGCTCTTGCTATCCTCTAGTTTTACAAGAGCCAGAATATGCAGAACATGGAGTACTGTTGCCTCATTTGGGAGGAGGGCGCAACATAATAATTTCTTCATAATGTCGAGTCCAAAAGCGTCTCAGATTCCTTGTAATTATTAGACAAACGCTGTGGCGGGATGTGACAAGTCTCTCATTTCTCTATCGGAACTTCCATGGAAAATCTCCTAAGCCGGCCAAGGATAGAAATGAATACAATATGGGAACAATAATACGGTGTGCTAGAGAAAAGCAATAATATCAAGAAATTGCAATCTGATATCTCCAGAAGCTCGCTGCCTTCTTCAACAGAATTACCGATGAAGAAGACCGAATGTGGATCCAACATATCCGGGATAAATCATTCGGATACGAATACAGTGCACTCAAGGTCTGCCAAGTTCGAAAATTAAACAGATTAAAAGGACAGGTGACGCACAAGATCTAGTGAAAGCAGTAATCAACATCAGTCAACACTAGCTGAGTACCTCTGAAGGAATCAGTACTATGCAAAGGTCTCAACTTCGCTATAACCATCAGGCGGATACCACACTTGGACATCATTGCCCGAATCGTGGAAATAGTCATGAACATCCATCCTGCTCGGGTGGATGAGCTAAAATGGAAATCGAGAAATCAAAGTCAAACATCAGGAAACCGGAGAGGCTGCCAATCAGAACCCTACAGAGGAATGAAAACTTAAGGAATCAGCATATATGCTAGGCTACAAAAATCACCCAAGCTGACCAAGCATGGAAATGAATACAATATGGGAACAATAATACGGTGTGCTAGAGCAAAGCAATAATATCAAGAAACTAAAATCTGATATCTCCCAGAAGCTCGAGGACTTCTTCAACAACAGAATTACCGATGAAGAAGATCGAATGTGGATGCAACATGTCCGGGATAAATACTTCAGAGACGAATTCAATGCTGTCAGTGTCCGCTAAGTTCGGAGATTAAACAGATTGAAAGATCAGAAGGTGACACACAAGGTCGATCACCCATCCCTAGTTAATACCATCTGTGTGTCTTTTAGGAGTCAGTAATAAACAAGAGTCTCGAATTTACTACAACCATGAGGTAGATATCATAATTGAACATTATTGCCTGAAACAAAATGAAAATCCCTCAGAGCGGATGATCGGAGATGGAAATGCGAGACAGAAACTGTAGATCAAACCACCCAAATCAATATCACTAAACTGGAGAGGCTGACAATCAGAATCTTACCGAGGAATGGAAACATCATTATACTACAAGCTGACAAAGGCAATGCTACTGTAGCGAAAGACCAATCGAAATGTCCAGGAAAGCAGGAAGACCTCGTTTGAAATGGTGGCTCATGTAAAGTATCCAACAACAACGAAAACTGTCCCGAATCCTAAACAAGATCTAGGAAACTGTAAATGGAACTTGGTGTAACGCTGCGACAACTGTCTTAGGTGAGAAATGTTTTAAAAAGTGATAATTAGAATAATATAATCTAGTCATACGATGAAAGTAAATTCAAAGTATATAATTATAAATATTTCTTATAAATAAACAACCTAATAAATATCAAGTGATTAATATCTTTGTTTTAAATTCTCATGAAGAAAAATATATAAATTCACTTTCATCATATGACTAGGTTATATTATTCTAATTATCGCTTCTTAAAACATTTCTCACCTAAGACAGTTGTCGCAGCGTTACACCAAGCTCTCTCACATTTACAGTTTCACCAAAATTCACAAAGACGGTATTCCACTCAGGCCGATTGTTAGCTGTCAACGGTCTGTGTGCTACCCTCTTAGTCGTTTCCATGTAGTTAGAAATGTCACCTTGTCGCTTCCTTGTTAATAGGAAAAGTCATCTTCATATGTCCGAAACCCCGCCCACTTCGTGGAAATAATCAAAAATGCCCATATTATACAGATTGCTATCAATAAATGATACAGATTGAAATCATTTGAAAAACTATTCATCATGCTAATTACGTTAGGGAGAAGAATGGAAAAAAATCATCTAAATGTTGTCATATAAATAAACAACGGCAAACTTCGTCTTTCGTGCCCGTAAAAAATCGAAGTGTCAAAAGGATGGTTTTTTACATTGACGCCGCTATTATTATAACTACCTTCGTTCCTCCGTGAATGCTTATGATATTTAAAAAAAAAAAAAACTATGATTAGAATTTTGCAACAAGAATAATAAACCCGATTTTTTTAATAGATTATTTAGATATGTTATTTATTTATTACATTGTTTATTGGAACAGTTGTAAAATGATCGGTTACATTGTAAATTGATTCGAACTTTATAAAATGGTAAATAATAAGAATTGGTTCACATATTTGAATAATTTAGTAAACGTTTATAAATCTATGAACGAAAACTGTTTTCATATTTATTTCTTTATAAATTGATAAATAATACATATTTCATTGCATTGTTAGTTTCAATAAAAGTGTATTAATACAAATGTGTAAATATAAACGTATTCTTATAAATAAAGAATATAAATAGAATAAACAATTATAAATATTTCTTATAAATAAACAACCTAATAAATATCTTGTGATTAATATCTTTGTTTTAAATTCTCAAGAAGAAAAATATATGAATTCACTTTTATCATATGACTAAGTTATATTATTCTAATTATCGCTTTTTAAAACAATAAACATTGCTGAAGATTGAATGAAATAAAAATAATAGCGCTACCAACGGAAAAAAAAACCTTTTGACAGACAGTTTTTTGAAGGAACGGACGTCCAAGTTTGCCGAATCAAAAATTAGATGAAATTAACTAAATACGCTATTTACATTAATCAGATTGTTGTCCTCGTCTTTGTTGTCATATTCAGCATGTTTCAGTCGTTGTACGCTCCGGTCTTGTTCAGGTGACTGGAATTTCGAACGAGTCATTTATTTTGTCCACCAGGGTAGATTGTTTTAGTTCCACGTGCCATGCCTCTTCCGCCTATGACAACAATGTCATAAAAGTCCGAACAATGGAAATAGTGCAAATAGTTACAATAACTTATCTCAGAAATCTAGACAGAAATTAGCTAAAAATGAATATAATCGATCAATTATACAGTTAAGGTCCGTTATAAAAGAAAGCAGTGTAACCATTTTTAATAAAGAGTTGATCTATAGTGAAAGCTCTGTGTATAATGCTTTAAGACATTCTCCTGTTTCAGTGCGCATTTACAAGCTATTATAGATGTTTATATTATTGGCAATATCTGCCAATGCGAAATATGAGTAGCCATATTTTATTGCTGTAGCACCATTCGTTAAGAATATTTATTCTATCTTTTATTACGGCATCACTGGCAAATAATTGAAAATAACACTTCATATTTGAGTGGAGTTTCTGTCATTTTTCAAAGACGCCTTTAAACCGGGGTTTCATGCCATTATCGTTTCCTTCCCATCATTCATTGCTTCTTTCTTTCATTCAGTGCATCTCCCAACTTTTTTTTATCATTATTTTTCCCATTAGTTGCTTACTCTTTCCACTGCTAGAAACGATTTTCTCATCTAACTATTATTGTCTGGATTTTATTTTAACTTGTTATACGTGTGTATTCTTTTTTCTCTTTTTCTTCCTGGTGCATTTTATTCGCTTCCGTTCTGTTTTCACTCTCGCCATGATTTTGTTTTAATCCTTTCCCGATCTTTTGACTCAGGCCTTTTGTAGATCCTAGGTGTCCATCTGTAAGAATTGCTTCGAGGACATTTCCCTCGACATTTATTCTTGCATTCAAAGTTCTTACTTTCCTGACGTACATTTGTCCTTACTTTCTTGATTCGTTGATTTCATTATTTCTTTCTTTTAGTGTTTCTCATTCAGATTCGTGTCTCTTTCGGAATACATCTTTGTTTCTTTGTTTCTTTTTTTTTTTCTAAGTGTGTCTTTACTTCTTTCTTCCGCATCTCTCATTCAAGCAATACTTTTATTCTATCTTTCTTTCTTGCTTTCTTTTTTCTTTCTTACCAGTTTTATTTTATTTTATTTGTTTTTCTTTGCTTTTGTTTGATTTTCCTTCCTTCATTCATCTCAATCGATATTCATATTTTCTTTCTAGATATCTATAAATTTTTCTCTTTCTTTCTTTCTTTCTTTCTTTCTTTCTTTCTTTCTTTCTTTCTTTCTTTCTTTCCCTTCCTTCGTTCCTTCGACTGAATCTCATTCAGTCTTTCTTTCCTTTTGTCTAATTTTTCTTCCTTCCTTCCTTCCTTCCTTACGTCTTTCATTTCAATCAATATTCATTTTTTTCCTTCTAGTTTTCTATACACCGTTCTCTTTCTTTCTTTCTTTCTTTCTTTCTTTCTTTCTTTCTTTCTTTACCTTCCTCAGTTCCTTCGACTCAATTTCATTCAGTCCTTTTGTCTAATTTTCCTTCCTTCTTTCCTTCCTTCCTTACTTCTTTCATTTCAATCGATATTCATTTTTTCCTTCTAGTTTTCTATACACCGTTCTCTTTCTTTCTTTCATTCTTTCTTTACCTTCTTTCGTTCCTTCCGCTCATTTCTCATATATTCTATATATCTATACATTTTTCTCTTTCTTTCTTTCTTTCTTTCTTTCTTTCTTTCTTTCTTTCTTTCTTTCTGCCTTCCACTCAATCTCATTTCTGTTTTTCTTTTCTTTTGTTTAATTTTCCTTCCTCACTTTCTTCCTTCCTTCATTTCAATCGATATTCTTTTTTTCCTTCTAATTTTCTATACATTTTTCACTTTCTTTCTTTCTTTCTTTCTTTCTTTCTTTTCCTTCGTTCCTTCGACTCAATCTCATTCTGTCTTTCTTTCCTTTTGTCTAATTTTCTTTCCTTCCTTTCTTCCTTCCTTCATTTCAATCGATATTCATTTTTCTTCTAGTTTTCTATACACCATTCTCTTTCTTTCTTTCTTTCTTTCTTTCTTTCTTTCTTTCTTTCTTTCTTTCTTTCTTTCTATATTCCTTCCTTTTCTTTCTTTCGTTCCTCAATTCCTTCATCCCTACCTTTAGATTTCTTTTTTTTCTTACTTCGTTTCAGTCTATATTCATTTCTTTCTTTCTAGTTTCCTTTGTTACTTTATTTTTTTCCTTTCTTTTTGGTTTGTTTTCATTCCTATGTTTCCTTTCTTACTTACTTCCTCTGAATCTCGATTTCTGTCTTTCTTTCTGTGTTTTTTCTTTCTTCCTTACTGATTTTCTTTTTTACATTTTTCTTTCGTACCATATATTTTCCTTTATTCTTCATTTTTTTGTTTATTTGTTTCTTTCATTATAGGTTTTGTTTTCTTTTTCTTATTTATTTTACACTTTTTCTTTCTTTCTTTCTTTCTTTCTTATTTCTCTATTTCTTACATTTTTTCCTTTTTTGTTTGTACATTTCTTTCTTTCTTTAAGTGATGTCTTCTATCCTTTTCTCTCTCTCCTCTCTCTTTCGCAGTCAGCCTTTCCCACCCTCTATGTGACAGTTTCCATTTTCTTCTTTAGTGTTACTTCAAAGTTTTTACAAAAGGTTAATGATGTCTTCTCGTATATATTTTTTATTCTACAGTCATTCTTTTCTTTTTTTTGTTTCAGTCTTTAAAGTTTTCTTTTTCTTTCTTTCTTTTCCCTATGACAATTTTCCTTTTATCATTCTCCTTTCTTTCTTTCTTTCTATTCACATCATTTTCTTTCTTTCTTTCTCCTATCACCATTTTCATTCTATCGCTGTCACTTTTTCTTTCTTTTTCATTCTCTCTTTTTGTCTCCTATCATCATTTTCTTTCTTTCTTTCTTTCTTTCTTTCTTTCTTTCTTTCTTTCTTTCTTTCTACTCACATCATTTTCTTTTTTCTTTCTTTCTTTCTTTCTTTCTTTCTTTCTTTCATTATTTTCTTTTTATCTCATTTATTTTTTCTTTCCTTCTCCCTTTCTTTCTTCTCCTGTAGCCGACACTCCGCTGGCTATATCTTTTGAAGCGAACTGATTCTTTCAGTGTCTCAATTTTCAGGATGGAATTCTTTGGCATTTTCAGACTTCTCAGACTTATAACCTCAAAGAATAACAAGGAATCCCACAAGGTAAAACAAGAGTTTCTTTGTTGCTCTTTTCTGTCAGACCATTCCATCATTTAGAACCTCGACAAAAAGAATAAAGAAAAGATAGCAAAACAAGTTTAAACGTTCTCTTCCCAGGTTGAAACGCTTTTAACCTCTTCTTATTTCAGCAGAACCATAGCGAATTCCAACGCCAGCGATTAAAATTTCCCAAACAAAAAAGCCATTAGGAATCCGCTTCTCTTTTACGGCTTTCATGGATTTATTTTAACCTTTGAGTGACACGATCAATCATTTTCATTTAACAAGGCACCAAATCAGTGTTGTTGTTGTTTCCGTAGGCGGATGTAACATGAACATTATCAGAAACACGATTGGCCTTCATCTAATGATCAGAGCACATCTTTGTTTCCTTAGAAATGTTGAAATCAAATGTCTTAGTTACAAAGTAAACCAGTTCTCCCAATAAACCAGAGGTCGGACTAAAATTTACATGAAGACATGCTTTTAATAATACTTAATAATTTTCCTACGTATCTATCTATCTATCTATCTATCTATCTATCTATCTCTCTCTCTCTCTCTCTCTCTCTCTATATATATATATATATATATATATATATATATATATATATATATATATATATATATATATATATGTAAGGAAATTTAAGGATAAGGATAAGGAATTGAAAATGGTACATCTAACTCACTCATATCTTATCTCCCACCAAACTTCCTCACTTCGCTAATTTCACATACGCTTGGTGCGGTCCATCAAAAATGTGTAAGTTTCTTTTCATTTTCATTTCAACTTTTGGAAGTAAAGTCTGATGATCCAGAGTCCTTTAAAAGGGTTGTGGTGAAATAACTTATTACATGGAACCTTAAAGTCTGTTTTCATTCAAACATATTTGCTCTGAATTTACATTGAGCTCTCTGGATATCATCCTCCGTGGGTCTACCCATACGGATTATCTAGTTTTGCATAAACTATATATATATATATATATATATATATATATATATATATATATATATATATATATATATATATATATATATATATATATATATATTATATATATATATATATATATATATATATATATATATATATATATATATATATATACGGATTACCCTAGTTTTTGCATAAAGTATATATATATATATATATATAGTTATATCTAGAGAGCCAGACAAAACTACCAAAGTTTCACATAAGCGGATCGTCAGGGAATGCCGGCGTATGTTGGACGATTATTTTCGGTTAATGTACATGTTCTTGTTTTTTTCTTTTTTAAAACTTTTTTTTCTTTTGGTATTGGCTAGAATTTAGAGAACGCTATTTTCAAAAGGAAATGGTTGAATCCGTCAAAAGAACAATAATAACAATATCTCCACACATGATAATAACTGACGTAATTTTCAGTTAACAATATGAAAATAGCGTTCTCTAAATTCTTCCAGTTGCTAAGGACATTTTGTTTTTGTTATTATTAGTTACTTTGTTTAAATAAATTCATTTCGTTTCTTGCCTTGAGAAAATCCACATTAGACGAAACGCGTCGGCCACAATTACAGTTTTCCTATTGTCATTTATATATATATATATATATATATATATATATATATATATATATATATTAAGACATTTTCTTGTTTATACATTCTTTTTATAGATACAAATATTTAAGTAAATGTTCTATTTTATAATAAACAGTATTAATAACATTTACCGGCCTGAATGTTCGAGAACTTTTACTTAAATATTTGTATCTATAAAAAGAATGTATAAACATAAAATGTCGTACTTTGACCATTTCATAATTTGTGCTGTCATTTGTTTACATTTGGATACGCTTTCAGCAGATATGAATGTACGTGAGAGATTCATTATGTTTAAAAGCAGTAAAATCGACTGATTCTCCGTGGCTCGATCAGTTAAGGCACATCAGGCTAATTGGCGGTTCGGTATGGCATACAGAGTCGATTCCTGCCGGAGAACGAATATTTTCTTTGAAAATTTCTTGGACATTCAGGCCGGTAAATGTTATTAATACTGTTTATTATAAAACAGAAAATTTACTTAAATATTTTGTATCTATAATAAGAATGTATAAAACTAAAAATGTCTTAAAATAATTGGCGGACTTTGTCCATTTTATTACATATATATACTAGCAGCATAGCCCGGCGTTGCCCGTGCTTGATTCAAAATCGTACGACCCATACAACAATCGCTATCACTTGACTTAAAATATTTTTGCCCTTCGTTGCATTTAAAGGAGTTGCCGTGCTGATGTTGGTACATGCCTTACTTCTTGCCTATCTCACACAGAGAATTTTTTCTAAGCTGTATACTAAACATTAAATCTGTTACGAAAAAAGAACTAAACAAAATGAACACAAAACGATCAGCTTTAAAAAAGGACTCGTAACTGGAAAAACCGAATGAAAAAAGAATGTTAGCAACAAATACTTTTTCATATCCAACCCAGTTCTGCGGAATCAGAAGCAACGTTGAGCAAGCGAATGAGCCATTGGAGTAAAGTGCCATGCAGATTAAAATGTTTCCCAGAGATTATTATATATATATATATATATATATATATATATATATATATATATATATATGGATTAAACCTTTTCAATATCAACAGGAACGAGACGGTTTAACATACATATATGTGTGTGTGCGTGTGCGTGCGTGCGTTCGTGTGTGTGTGTATACAAAGACAATATATAAAGACAAAAGTAATATATATATATATATATATATATATATATTGTTATAAAACCAATAAGGTGAGTGTGCCCAGTACAACGACGAAAAGGAAAAATAGACACGACAAAAACACGACAGGACATACACACTTTTGCACATTTGCGCTGTCAGGTGGATGCCCATGTCCACGTACACGCGTATGCGTTTGCGTACACACGCAGACACAATGAAAGACGAAGAGAGAAAAAAATAAACTTTTCATCAATGAAAGCGTATCACTTTTTAAACTTCAGTATAAAAAAGTACGCGAAAATAAACAGTGAGTTGCCGGGAGGAAGCAATTGCTTGAAGGTCTGCCTATGATACTCTTGAATCAAGATGCTGAAGGTAACGTCATTCAGCAAAATCACCAACTTTATACTTGTTTCAAACATATATATATATATATATATACATATATATATATATATATAGAGAGAGAGAGAGAGAAAGAGAGAGAGAGAGACAGACAGACAGATAGATAGATAGATAGATAGATACCGTGTGCAACACAAAAATTATCAAAATTGTGTAACATCAAAATTGTCCAATTGTTAGATCAAGTTCTGCACCATTGTGTCTTAGAAATGATTAAAGATATTTTACTGGAATACTTCTAGGTTTTTATAACACTATTTGACTCTTCTTTAACTAATAAGAATGTATATTTACTCTCTAAGCTTAACAGAAGAATCATGATGAAATCGATCATAGACGACAGTGACATGTTCATCATTAATATATCATAGCTAAGAATCGGAAGTTAATGAAGAATTGAAAAGTTCAAATATGCATATATTATTCCAGGATCATTCTCCAAATTTTTCAAGATTATCTTCGCTCTAACCTTCTATCCTGCAGTAATAATGTGTCTCAGAGATTTCACGCACGATTTCATTTTGAAATTTTTTTTTTTTTTACTGCTGTTTGGGGTGTAATAGCTGAAACTCCTCTCTCAAGTCTCAAATACCTTATGAATTGAGTTGGATCTTTTCTAATTGACCTCTTTAGTTTTAAGCTGAAATAATGATCCCCCTTGCTGTTCTAAGCTGCTGGTCCAGTTTTCTTCAATCTACTCTTCCTTCTTTCTTAAACTTATTCAGCGTCCTTGAATGAAATTTGAAGGTGGAAAATAGAGTATGAATGTGAGTACCATTACTGAAGGCCTGCATGATCTTTTTTCCTCTCACCATTGTTTAGTTGGGAAGACATATTGGTTCTGGCACAAAATGATTTAACCTGTCATCTTTCTAGCTAAATAACTCAAAGAATTTAAAGTGATTCTTACGACAGGAATGGTGACAAGATGGTGAATCGTCTTATCTGAAAACCTGGAAGAAATAAACTCAGCTTTGATTTTTTTTAAGATATCAAGTATTTTGTGTGTTAAATATTTATACAGTTCTACGATTTGGACAATTTTGTTGTTACACTGGGTATATATATATATATATATATATATATATATATATATATATATATATATATATATATATATATATATATTAATAGATACATAGATAGATATTGGTAAAATTAGTAGTGAATATATATATATATATATATATATATATATATATATATATATATATATATACGTAAATTACGTAAATTCCCAAGAAGATAGAATCCAGGTAGAACTCAATGTCCAGGACAGAGTAAGAATATAATACAAAAGGCTCAAGCATTAATATTCCATGGTTATAATGTAATACATTGGAATCGTTATCACGATCCAATTCATCAGCCCTACAAATTTCTAGTACTGATGAATTTGATCGTGATTACGATTACAATGTAAGAAATTATAACCAATATAGTGTTTGAGCCTTATATATATACATATATATATATATATATATATATATATATATATATATATATAAAAGGAAGAGGTTATAATAGTTACAACGAGAGAAAAGTGTGTATCTTAAAAAGAAGAGAGATACCGCAAACGTTTTTAGTTGTAATGTGGATTTTTTTTAAAACATTATGCTTTATTTTACATAATTTTACTACCCGTGTTTCTCGTCTCGCGACCGTCATCAGCTAAAGGGTGGAGATTTCGACATATTATCAAAAATAATCAATTTTTTTCTCCTTTATGTTTTTCGATGTTACGATTACAATGTAATAAATTATAACCAATA